CCCAGAGCTGGGGGCAGCTCCAGGGCAACCGGAGAAACAGGTAAGAGGAGGGTCTTGGAGAGCCTGAGTGTTCCAGGGGTTAAGTGCTTGGCTGTCAGCTGCTGCCCAGTGATCAATCCCACCGGTGGGTCCAGGGAGAGAGAGAGACGAGGCTGTCTGCTTCCATAGAGATTTACAGCCTCAGACACACTATGGGGGCAGTTCTACTCTGTCCTGTAGGGTCATTATGATCAAATTCCACTAGATAGCAGTGCCTTTCCTTTGGTCGCCAAGGAGGCTCTTAGGTTAGGACCCCATGGGAGTGGCAAATTCCCACTTGCCCAAGTTTTTGGTGCTTCAATGGGTCAGTCACAGTTGATGACCTCAGCTGCACCCCAGGGGTTGTGGTGGGGGCAGCTGGCATCTCTGGCTTAGCAGCAGAGAAACGGAGGTTCAGCGAGGTGGGAAGTCGCCAGGATCAATGTGCTAGCCAGTGAGACCCAGGGGCTTGGGCCCAGGTGTCAGGCTCCAGGGCTCCTTCCATGCCCTCATCCTCTGCCTCACTTTTCCTGTTTGCCCCCACTGAGCAGTTGTACTGCATTCGCACCCACACCTTTATTTTTCATTCATTTCTTTTCTTGGAAGGCCCCTAGAGCACAGGTAAGTGTGTCTCCTGGCTCCAGCTTGCAGAAGTGGTCTCTCTTGTGTGAAGGCTGAATCTGGGGCCCCATTCTGGGTGGACACATGTAGGGGTGGCCCAGGGCACCCTTACCTGCAGGATGTAGGCACTGGGGGACAGAGGATACTGGACACCGTTGATGGTGAAGACAATGTTGGGAAGGTTGTTGATGGCGGAGCAGCTGACCACCATCTAGAAGGAGGAAGAGGAGGTGAGAAGGTGAGAAGAATGTGCCTGTTCTCTGCCTGGTGGATGCTCCACTTGGGTATAGAAGAAGGCAGGCTCGGTGGGGCTTACCTGGCCATTAGAGTTTTGGCTGGCTCCGATGTAGCTCTGGATGTTGGCGATGGCATTAGATGGGCCAGACAGCAGAGAGGTGCCGGTGTCGACAATGGCCTGGCAGCCCCCGTTGCAAGCGATGGACTGTCCATTCATGGTGATGCTGTGGACGGGATGCAAGTTAGGGCCACTGGAACCACTGGGCGGGGGAGTACCTCTCCCCCAGGAGAAACCAGGTGACCCCAGAGGGCCTTTCCTCTCTGTCCCCAAAACACTGTCCTGAATCCATACGTGCTCATGGCTTCTCTCATGCGCTCATACACTCATCCTTTCACATGTTCCTTTATTTAAGACATGCTTATTGTGTGCCTACTGTGTCCCAGGCATGGTGGTACAAATGTGAGTAAGACAGAGCCATACACTTCCTGACTGCGGTGGGGGGGTGGGGGCGTGATTCTTGGTCTCATGCAAGGGCTGAGTAAGGATAGAGAGGAGAGAGGGAGGCGCAGGGCCATGACCAGGTGGGGAGGAAGTGGAAGAACCTGAGAGAGAGAGAGAGAGCTCGCCATTCAGAGAAGCAAAGAGCCACAAGTTGCTTGGGAAATGGGAGGGGAGGAGCTGGTGTGGGGTGGGGGTGCGGGGCGGTCATTGTGGGCAAAGAATGGTGGAGGCAGAGGAGGCAGGGCAGGAGGTAGCCAGTCTGAGAACAAGTTGGTATGCTGGACCAGAGTGAGAGCGAGAGCAAGAGCGAGAGCGAGAGCGAGAGAGACTTGTCCTTGTTTAGTATTGAAAGTCCCACTTCCCAAAAAGCTACTGGACAACTGGCCACCTCATACCCAAGCCAAGTCAAACTCAGCTTGGCTTTGAATGGCGCTGGCGCTGAATCGGGGTGGGAGCCCGCCAGTGGAGGGGAGGGATGGGGAGAAAGGACTTGCCAGCCACTGAGAGTGACGGCGTTCCCAGAGAGACATCCCGAGAGGGTGGGACATGTGGGCAGACTGAGTCCTCTGGCTAGGCCCAGCAAAGCCAGGAAGGCGGCCCTGCCCCTTGGCCCAGAGGGAAGGGTCTGCCTCCTCCCTGAAGAATGCCAGGGGTGACCGGCCGGCCCTGTGCTGGCTGTCCTGGGGAGGGGGGTGGTCCTGGAAAGGGACCCAACCCCGAATCCATGAAGAGACAGGACGTGGGACCCACACATGGGAGGCTGTGAGGTGTCCTCCATGGTCTTACCTGTCCACGGTGATCTGCCAGTAGCCCTCAGAGGAAAGGGGCACCCAGTTCAGGTTTCCGGTGTAGTAAGAAGAATCGATACCACCGAATATCACCACGCTGCCGCTCTGGCCATTGCTGCGGAGGAGGGGGAGGAAGACAGGGATTTGCTTATTCCTTCATTGCACCCCACGCGGCGCCTGAGCAGCGAGTGCGCTCTCGATACCGAGTGTGAAGAAGGAAACAGAGTAAGATAAAGGGCCCTCCTGCCGTAATGCAGGGCCCTGGGACATTCGTTTTTGAAACCTTTGAGGTTTCCGGCTTAGACAGGGAAGCAAATCTAGGTGGTCATCAGAAATCAACCGCGTGTCAACTGTGTTTGTTGTGGTTTGGGGCCGTTGAGTCAGTTCCAGCTCCCAGCGGCCCCACGACGACACACAACAGAACGAGACACAGCCCTGGCCTGCACCATCCTCACAGTTGTTACGTTTGAGCCCAAAACGTGTGTGCAAGTAAAAAAAGAAAAAAAAATTCGCTGCCATCAAGTCAGTGCTGACTCAGCACGACCTCCTAGGGGTGGTTTTGACCTTGTAGATCGAAGCCCAATGTGTAACCACCACACCACTCTGGGTCCTCTACAATCTGGGTACAGCCTATAAAATGTTACCCAGCCCCATCCGGTCTTTGTTCCTAGCACATGACAGTAATACAATGTGACACAATGCGATACAATGTGATACAATGTAATATGATGTGATACAATGTGATACAATGTAATGCGATGTGATACAATGTGGCACCAGCCTTTGAGGCACCAACAACCGGAGAAGAAGGACTCGCTAGGTGACGCCATCAGCTCCCAGGAAGATTCAGGATTCAGAAAGGCCCTCGGGAAAGTGGGTGGCACCCTCAGACCAGTCCTGCCGAAACCGATTCTTGTCGCGTCTTGACGCTGCCCACGTCAAGGAGGGCAGAGTGTCGCTGCCAGACCAGCGCCAGCCTTCTCTTCCCGGTCATTCTCCACTGCAGCCAGGGCTGCCCTTTTGTCATTTTGAAGATGCAAAAAATCACCCGAACTCACGCCCATCGAGACCATGCTGGCTCATAGTGACCCCCTGTGGCTTTCCGAGACTGTCACTGCTGATGGGGGTAGAAAGCCACCCCCCCCCCTTCTTCTGCGGAGCTGCGGGTGGTTTCAAACTGCTGATCATGTGGATTGCAGCCCAATGCGCAACCACTACACGCCTCCAGGGCTCCTCAAATCGTCTCTTTAGTGTTTGCTCAGAAATGCTGGCCCCTGTGTTAAGGGGATTCACCTTGAATGGCCCCCTTGGGTGCGGGTGGGTCAATGATGGGAGTGCCTGGGTGCTACACATGGATCATGTGTCCGACTGCTAACCACCAAGTTGGAGGTTTGGGTCCTCCCAGAGGTGCCTCGCAAGAGAGACCTGGTGCTCTATCCCCCCCAAAAAATATCAAACCCAGTTCTACTACGACAACACATGGAATCAGCATGACTCGGAGTTAACTCAGCAACTTGGGCTGTCCCTGAGCAAGGGAGGCCAGTGGTGATGAAACCGGTGCCAGAGCCCGCGTGTCTGCTGACACGTGAGCTGCCCAGGACGCAGGCTGCTAAGGTAAGACGGGATGGAGACCTTCCACGCCTCTGCTTCCGGAGTCCCTGCCCACCCTGCTGAGTCCTGGGCTCCTCCTCCCTGCTGGGCCTTGCTGGAGGCCACTCCCGCGCCCACTCACGAGCTCAGGTAGACGGAAAAGAGGTCCTGGGAGACCAGGCCCTGGCTCCACATGTTGTCAAAGACGGGCGTGGCCCCGGAGGAAGCAATGTTGGGGTAGGCCAGACCCAGGATGCCGTCGAAAGGAGAGTAGTAGAGGAAGGAGCCGGGCTCCGTCTGGCTCAGACCGAAGATCTGGTTGGTGTCGGCGATGCCGGCAACCTGAGTGGGGGGAATCAAGACGTTCACTGTCACTAGGCACCGCTGAGGGTGGCCACGGGCCCAGAGAGCCCCAGGCCACCTGGTGGGGGACATGCCTGCCTGGAAGACCCCATCTTTAGACTTGGGGTCGGGAGGAGAGAGAGGGACTGTCCCCTAGAAGACCTGTTGTTCTGCTGGAGACAACTATCACAGCTAGTCCCCAGCTGGCCACCAGCCATGAGCGGTGTGAGGTTCCCCTGCAGACCAGATGGGTCCCGGGCATTGGCATTTCTGATGAACAGATGCATAGCAGATCTGAGCCTTCCACCCTAGCTGTGCCCTGGTCATGTGGAGGGGGCTGGGTTGGCCTTGTACTGCCTTTATCACTTAGCGGGACTTCAGGAGGGGGCAGGAGAGAGAGGAGGAGGTGCCAAAAGAGAGTTGCGCCTTCACCTACTGCCCCCTGCCCCCCACCTACCACCTTAGCCTTGTGCTTGAGTGGGGCTGAGATGGGCTCCTGTCACTCCCCCTCCACCCACCACCAGGCTACCTAGGTGACCACCGGGGCCTGGACTTGAATGAGACGGTTTTGGAGGCAGGTGTCCTAAGGTCCTCCAGGCTCCTGTAGCTGGCCCCGGGGCTGGTCAGCCGACACTCACCTGCACGGTATCATAGCCAAGGATGCCGGTCATGCTCCCTGTGCCGTAGGCGATGGAGACGGTCTGGCTGGTGGCCTGGTAGGTGGAGGACTTCTCGGGGTTGAAGCGGTTGTGATTGGCTGTTTGGAGGATGACAGGGTCAGCCACGTGAGGGTCCAAGGGGCCCGCCTGGGATGGGGCTCATTGACTCTCGGTGGTGCTTTGGAGGGAAAGGCAAGCATTCCCCGGTCTTTGGCATCCAAGAGTCCCCAGTTCCATCCCCATCTTGTTGGGACCATCTCCCTGATAAGAGAGCCCTATGACCCCATGGCCTTTCCCAAGACCCCCCCAGGGAAGCACGGAGCAGATCAGGCCCGTGGCTGCCCGGGAGGAGGGTATCCGACCCACCGGGGGCAGCCCCTGTTGTGAGGGGCAGGCTTCATGCACATCCACTTCATTAGAACTTGGATTCTCAAGTAGGAAGAGGAAGGGGCTTGAATGACTCTCTGTAGCTTGATATTCATGCCAACGGGTTCTCGTCTAATAGATACCCGCACTGTTTCTAGTGCGCACACCCTCATTGCAGACTCATACCCTCTTTTGGTGGCCCGGTTCTTGCTCCCGGGACTGTAGCTGTAGAACTTCCCTTTGGCCTCAGACTGTATGCTCCTGGAGGGCAGGACCTCATCCCACCCCCCGTTTACCTCCCAGAGCACCTAAGCCCAGTGCCTGGCACGCAGTAGGTGCGTGGTCAATGCCTATGGAGGCACTTCCTCTTGACGCTGCAGGCTTGACTTCTGGGCCTATGTGAAGCCAGGGAGCCTGGCAGGGTTGGGCAGGGCCGGGCACTCACAGCAGGCGGGGCTGGAGCAGTAGATGGAGGGCACCCACAGGTTGGAGGAGCCGGTGTCAAAGATGACAGTGAACTCCTGGGGGGGTGTTCCGATGGCGATGGTGCCGAAGTACTCCATCTGCCGGGCAAGGACAGCACAGCTCATGGCCTGGCACTCCCATCCTGGGGGACGGTCCTCCCCTCGGCCCACCTCCCTGATTTTCCCAAGGACCGCCTTGCCCTCTCTCTCCCTCTCCGAGGCAGCCGTCCTTTGAGGCTCAGCCCTGGTCTCCCTTTCTTCTTGAAACATCTCAGACGGCCACCCTCCAGCCATTGGGGTTCCTCAACACCACTTCAGTTTAGACTCTCGGCAAAACCCCATGTGTTGCAGACTAGACCTGTACGTAGTAGGAGCTCTGGTGCAGTGGGTGGGTTGCACGTTGCACAGCTAACCTCAAGGTCAGCAGTTTGAAGCCACCAGACACCCCTTGGGAGAAAACTTGGCCTTTCTACTCCCATAGAGTTACAGCCTTGGGGACCCACTGGGCAGTTCTACCCTGTGGCTGTGAGTTGGCATCAACTCAGTGGCAGCAGGCTCACTGTTGGCTCACAGCTGTTGTGCTGTCTTGACTGTAGTCTTCTGGCAGCAGGGTGCCTGGCTGTCTTTCAAGAGAGTGCTGGGTGGGTTCAAATCCCCACCCTTCGGGCTAGTAGTCGAATGCAAGCTCTTTGCGCCACCTAGGGGCCTGAAGCTCTAGTAACATCTAATAATAACTTAAGGTGCCCTGGTAGGTTATGAATTGGGCTTCAGTCTGAAAGTTCAGCAGTTCGAAACCAACAGGGGCTCCTCGGGAGAAAGACGGGGCTTTCTACAGTCTCAAAAGAAACCAAAAACCCAAAAGTTACAGTCTCAGAAACCCATAGGGCAGTCCTATAGGATTGCTATGAGTTGGCATCGACTCCGTGGCAGTGAGTTTAGCTTTGGCTTTTGGGTGGCATACTGGTTACGTGTTGGGCTGCTCACTGCAGGGTCAGCAACCCGAGACCTCCAGCCGCCCTGCTCCTCCTGGAGAGAAAGGCGGGCTCTCTCTGCTCGGGGCCAGTAGGAACGTGTGCTTGGTACCCAGAAACAACAGCAGCTGCCGAGGGCAAGCAGTGGCCCAGCTGCCCCAGACTCCTGAGCTCCAGGGAGCATTCCCACAGTCCCTGAGCCCACACCACCTCCCTCCTGCTGCTCCGGCCACCCCCACAACACTCACATCCATGTAGTTGACCAGGGGCTGGGAGGACAGCATGGTGGCCGCCTCCTGGGTGTAGTACTTGCTGCCCGGGTTGATGGTGTTCTTCTTCAGGAAATCCTCCAGCAGGCCATTTTCAATCAGATGCTGCCTCAAGGACTTCTTTTTGAGGAGGGGGACCCTGGGCAGAACATTAGAGGACAGCTGGTGTTGGGGAAGAGGGTGATGCAGGCCAAGATCCTGCTCCGGGGTACTTGGGATGCCCCAGAAGGGAAGGGGAACTGGTCTTGAGGTGGGAAGGGAGGGAGGAAGTGGGCTCACACTGTGTATTTCACCAAGTGCTGCCCCTGCGTCAATGGCCTGCTTAACCCTTGCAGCCACCCTGTGTCCCTTGGTCCTTGAGTCGACTCGAGCCCTGTGCGTGTGTGTCAGAGTGGAACGGCAGCACCACGATGCCAGGACCTTCTTTCACAGAGCCAAGGGGCGGGCTCGAACCGCCAACCTCTGGGTTTTAGGAGTTGGCACCAACCACCTCAGTGCCCTTCTCCCTGCTGACAGCTGCAGAGGAGAAGCAACTTGTTGGAAGTCACCCTCGCCGGCTAGTGATGGAGCTGGCTGTCCTTGGGGGTGGACAGGGCCTCCCCGGAAGGGCAGGGAGAGGCCAAGCAGGAAGACTCCTGATGGAGGGAGGGACAGAGGGGTCAGAAGAGGAAGGAGGGACCACGGGAGGAAAGAAAGGTGACTGGGGACATAGCACGTGCCCGAGCCACAACCGCGGCCTGCTGGCCTGTCCCATCCCCAGCGACTGCGGAGGACAGAGTAGACCCGCCCCAGAGGCTGTCAGTCTTTACTGTAGCAGACTGTCTTGCCTTTCTCCTAGGGAGTAGCTGGTTGACTGAGCTGCTAACCTTCTGGTGAGGAACCCAGCACTGTCACCACGGCACTACCAGAGCTCCTAGAGGGTCTGCAGCAACCCACCCCATGGAGTCCAATTCCCACTCATAGCCGGCGGCCCCGGCGGCCCCGGCGGCCAGAGAGGTACTGTTCCCTTGGGCTCTGAAGACAGGCGCCACAGCAGCCGGTGGGCTTGAACCACCAGCCTTGCTAAGGTTCACAGCTGAGCTCCGATCCACCGTGCCACCCAGGGTATTGCAGGGGCTCAGTGCGGGTCCGGGGACCCCGTGCTCGGTCCCTGGTCCCCAGACTTACTTGTAGAAGCACTCAGAGAGTGCCACCAGGCTGAGCAGCAGCAGACACAGACCCTTCATGCTTCTCTCCTGGGTCTCAAACCACCGGAGAAGGAACCAGGCTGGTGGGTGTGGAGAAGGCAGCCCGCGCGGCGCCTTATATACGCCGCGTAGGCCCTCCTTCGTGGGCCTTATCAGGCTCCAAATGTCACCCTAATCCTCGCCCCACACAGAAATATTTCCGATAAGATTGCCCCCGACCCCTGAGCATGTTCTGGGAAGGTTCCAGCCCAGTAGCTTTTCCATTGTCACCAGGTTGGGGTGGGGAAGAGAGGGGGGGGTGAGGAGCTGATACAAAGGGCTTAAGTAGAAAGAAAATG